CAGTAATAGTGAATTATTAGTTTATTGTATTGAGTCTTCTGATCAATTTCAGAGTTCAACGTGATATCCCAATGCCTCTAGTTTCATCAGGAGTGGAACATGGCAACCTTCGAGAGTTGGCACTTGCTCGTATGGCCGACTTGGGTACGGATTGTAGGGATGTGAGGACTAGAGAGGTGGGCATACAAGAGATACACAATAAAGTGAGACCTTATGAGGTAAGTGAATTTGAATATGTGTGGTGTTTTTTTTTAATTTAAGGAAAACCTTGTCAAAACAGAAGACTTGCCTAAAATGTTTGGGCATCCTAAGATTTTATTTTTAGTGTGTAGTATACTCATATTACTAAAGGAATATGAATACTGTCATATTCATTGTCCATATAATATCTTTAGATATCAACATTTATGGAACATTGCACCTATGTTACATATGGGTTATATTTCGTAGTCGACTAATATATTTAAATAAAATACTGTCATATAATTTGAATCATGTCCATCATATATATGTATTAGCTATGTTTAGTGGTCCCTCAAGTTTAATTAGATTTTTATTGTTAGGACATCTACAAATCTAATATTCATTTGACTACACGCAAATCTGACGTCATTTACTGGTAGTCTCATACCAATTTTGTAGAAAGTTGCCTTTTTGGCAATTCGTACAAGAATTTCAATTGACATGAGATAAGATACTATTAATTGTATTCACTCTAAGTAAGCTTAAAAGTAGTGTCAGTAGTTCATGACAGTGGCCGAAATTCAAACTCACGGGTTTAAATTTTGTGGTCCATACCATTAACCATTTTACTTTCCCTTCCATCAATCCATTTATATCAAAATTCACTGCTGAACAGAGTAGGCCTCTCCCATAGGTTACTTAATAGCATGTGCCATAGTTGTCACGCTTTACCTTGCTGGGTTACTTTATCTTGGAGTGAATTATTTAATTTATGTATATTTGAATAAGTTATTAGTTTTATAATAAACTATTATTGCAAAACGTTAACAATATTACCAGTGTGAGTCTTCTTGTATTTCCTGCAAAATACATGGCAAGTATGTATGGCCAAGAAAAATCCAGAAAATGCTTGAGTTTTTCCAGGCCTCCAGTTTACAAATAATTGTTCCCTCTCTGTATATTTGTCAATGTCCATTTTGTGTATAAACGGATTCACAAAATGTAAGATATTTCCTGTGTATGGAAGTTGTTCCTTAAAGAAAAATAAGAAAGAACGTTCAATTTAATATTATTTCAGGTAGAGCTAATAAGACGGGACTATGTGGCAAACGGTGGCTGGGAAACATTCCTTTCTTATGAAGACCCAGATCAGGATATTCTTGTTGGTCTATTGAGATTGAGGAAGTGTGCCGCAGATACATATCGGTCGGAATTGAAGCCTGGACCAAAAGCCAACTTCAAACAATGTAGTATTGTGAGGGAGCTACATGTTTATGGATCTGTAGTACCGGTATGATTGCTTTTATCGATAAGTGTTGTATTAGTTACGAGTACTTGACTATTAATATTTGCACATCACTGAGGTAGAATATGTAGAATAAATTATACTGGAACAGACTTGTACAATATACATATTCTTGCAAATAATGATCATTATTATTCTTATTTAAAGAATTTTAATGCTGCATAGCTAAAAATTGTGCTTTAATTTATGATTTTTAGTGATATTATATATTCGGTCGATTATTATTTGATCGGTCGAATCCGGGTTGCTCGCGTACTGTGAAATCTACGGCGAGCGTTTAATCCCGGAGTTATGTTTAGAGCTTATGAGGCTTTCGCAAAATATACTGTGAACTGAAACTTGTCGATTGTATGTGAAACGGTCAAACTAGATATTTTTGCGCAATCGTTGGTTCCAACTGCGTTTGAACCTAACAGCGGCTCTACATGTTGGCCAACATAGTGCCGAATGTTGGGGTCAATAGCAATGACCATCATGTAGAGCGGGTGTTTGAGCTTACATTGGTATGTATTGGAATGATGGCCCACAAGTTGGCGCGAGATCCGTGTTTTTAACAAAAGATTAAAGGATTGTGGCAGAGTTTGGCCGCCGCGTCCACACGCTGGGGGCGCGTTAGTTTGCTACAAGCTCCCAGAGTGATTGCACCCACCTGATTTATATTCACGCTTCGTAGCTAGTGTCTGCAAAATGACAATAACAATGACCAATGAAGAAACTTTTCGCTTTATAGAGCTCTACCAAGCCGAAAATTGTTTGTGGAACCCAAGAAATAAAAATCACAAAAATAAAAATTCTAATAAAAATAAATTAAAATAATAATTTCTTATACACATTCACGTAATAGCGGTATGCTGTAAATAAATAAACAGCAGCCGCTGTTAGCGCCTCAATATCCATTTTAATAAATTCACCCGCACATTGGTCTGAACCGAAGCAAACTGAACCGAACTCTTGGCTAATATCCCTGCCACAACATTCGCCACTATGTTGGCCAACGTGTAGAGCCGCCATAAGATTTGCGATTTAGACATAATTATTGTTCTAGTGGAGTAATAATATAGCGGTAGTATAATGGTTGTGTTTTAACTCAATTTTTGATATTTCTTTCCATTTATAGGTAAATGCCCGCGATCCTACAAAATTCCAACATCAAGGGTTTGGTATGCTTTTGATGGAGGAAGCAGAACGCATTGCTCGCGAGGAACACGGCTCCGACAAGATCGCAGTAATATCTGGAGTCGGCACTAGAAACTATTATGCGAAGATTGGTTACCATTTGGAAGGGCCATATATGGTCAAAATGCTTGTATAATACAATGAAATAAATATATTTCAAAAATTCAGCGGTTATTTTAATAACTTTAAGTCCAAATTTTTTAAAGTGAAAATCGTTTTGGCTTTCACATTACTCCCATTTAATCCATTCCTGTCCTTATTCCAGACCTGATCCACCCCTGTCCATCAATCCGACGGAAATCTATCACAAGCACGTTGGTATGTTGCCTAACTACGCAGGTCATGTACCAGGCTGTATATTCAGGTAATTTAAAACTAAATAGTTTTGATTGAATTGGTAGCTTATTAGGTATTTTAACATAGTAGTCATTGGTCACCACGCTCGGTATTCCGGTTATTCACCCTAGGTTGGATATTACGATTGCGTATTTATACCACTAAGATACGGAATTTATATAATACCTATTATTTACAGAAACGTGATAAAAACTGCCCCAAGATACTAAATAGGCATTAGCATATCTATAAAAATATACAGAGTTTAAAATGTCAGGTCAGGTATAAAATGGAATATCTCAAAAATACGGGGAACTTATATAAAATTTAGAAATTCAGAAAAATATGGAAATAAAAGGAGTGCGCCTCACTACCAAGATTCCAATGATACAAATACATTAAATGATAAAATAATTTCTAATAAAGTTAAAGACAAACACCTAAATTAATTTTATTTCCTAGATGTCATTAGGAAGATGCTGCGGCTCCTATTCTAGTTTGTTTCACCCTGTCGCCTCTTAACGACACCCGTGGGACGATATGGGGTAGTAGATATTCTTAAATTGCCAATACACGGTTGGAAGAAAGGTTCTCGGGTTGCAGTCTCGTACCGGTAAGCTAAGTATAGGTCGACCCACTACCAGATGGCGTATCGATCTGGCAAGAGATGCATAATCGATGGATGTGGTTGGTTCAGGACCATGCTTTGTGGCATTCCTTGGGGGAGGCCAATACTTGTGGTGGGCTGTAATGATGATTACGATGAGAAGAATTAGTAGCTAGATTTAAAAAAAAGTTTTTAGATAAAATCAATGTCACAAGCCTATGGAACCATTGGAGATAGAGGGCTCTTGCTGAAATAGTTGTCAAATAGAAAAAAAATAGAATTATTTACAATCTATATTGAATAAAAAAAAAATATTCTTTTCTATTCTACTCTATTTAAACATACAGCCTAAGGGCCGATGCATTTGCATATTCTGCTCTTCATATCCTTGAAACTGACGACAACAGTAGATGCCTACTGGTGCTTGTTTGCAGCAAAAGGAGGGGATGATCCCCACCCAAACTCACTTGAGGTAGAAAAGTAGCTTTATCGCCAAGGCTTCTATCATTACACAACATAAACTCTCACGTCTGTCACCCAGAGAGATGGCTTTTTACATCACGAGCAAGAGCGCGACTCTTTCCTGATCGAGCTGTCCTGTAGCGTGGCTTCACCACCTATAAACTTTAGCCTGTATTGACAGTTTAATTTTTTTTTCAGAATCGGCAAAACTTACGGCAACGACACACGCGACGCGAAACGATGGCTACGCGGAGATTTTAGACCGTGAACGATTAAATTAAAGAGTAAAAATGCAGAACAGTCATAAGTCACACACACACATAAGTTTTAGAAATTTATTTTTACAATAATATACATTTGTTTGCTCTTAAAAGTCTCTTATTTAGTCGATTTTTACAACACATCATAAAATTGTCAAATATAAAAATAGATACATAATTTGCTTATTTTATTTTTGAGAATTACGTTACGTACGAGATCCTTCCTGTTTTTACAGGCCAACTAACAATTTCATTGGTGTAACGTGGCGTTTTTTAAATAACCATACATCATTCCACTCTGTAAACACAGTGTCCTTTATGTAATGGACAACTTGACAGGCAATTGCAGGGAGTCACCCATTGATGTGAGTAAGGGTAACAAATTAAGCTATTTTTTTCGGTTACATTTCTCCCATACTTGATTGGATATATATTTTCTGAGGCCTTGGTGTCCTGCTGGGTTATTCATTATTTACTAGACACCCAATTACATAAAAGTAATGTCATTTTTGTTAATGGGATTTGGTACCGTTATCAAGCCCTGGTTTAAACAAACTTTATAAGTAAAAATAACATTTCCTTTCCGTCTTGTTATAAACTTTATTAGTATTATACAAAAAGATATCACAATCCTGTGTTCTTATTTATTATACATTTATATAATATACAATCACTTTTTACTGTTCCATTCTTTAAGTAGTTTTTCAGTTAAGGCAAGGTTTTCGTCTTTCTGTAAACAAAAAACACATTTATTAATTTTAATGCTTTTAAATATTTATTTTTTCTATTATATGAAGAACAATAATAAATCTAAAAGGTCTTATCCTAGAAATTATTTATGAATAACTGGAATATTATTTTTAATTTCGTTAATATATCTAACCCCTGTAATGCAAATAGGGTTACTCCAAAAAAGGCGCCTACAATTTTACATTATGACAATGTTAAAATTGCTATATTTTGTAAGCTCACATAAAAGAGCTGTGCTCACCGATGGGACGTAAATAAACTAATAATTTTGTTCACATTCCACAGCAAAGCGTGTTACCTCAGTTCTCGAGTCATGGGAAGGATGGTCCACTGAGCCGATCTATTGAAAATGGATTTCATCTATCTTTGAAATATGCATTTTCACAAACCTTCGTGTACCACCATCACGTGATAAATTATTACTTAAAATTGTCAATTTAATTGGTGCAACCTCACTCGCTTTTTTTACATCCACATATCGTACATGCAGTCCGGGGTTCTTAAACATAAAATTAAAAAACCACTCATTCTGCAAAAAAAGTTGAGAAATTTTCTTTTTTTTTTTTTTTTAAATTTTTTATATTTTTTATTAATTAATTTTAAATATAGATTGACTTGGTCATCGCATGAAACCACAATGTATCTCACAAGTAATACGTATTATATTAGATTGCTTAGTGCGATTGCCAAGTCAATCTATATATTTAAAACATAAAAGACTTTTAAAATTGATATGGTCACTATAAAATGTTGTTAGGTTAGCTAATTACGTAATAACTTAAAACAGAAGGACCCTTAAGTAGAAACTGAATAAATTAACCGACTTGGAATTACATGGATCTCACAACTTTTTACGGTAGAAGAACTGAGTTGCGAGACTTGGTTTTTTTACAAGTTATGTTTTTAATGGCATCTCATTTCTTTTTGTATATAAGATAGTCCTAATTTTTTACCTTTCCAGTACTTTCTACTTCTTGAGTACCAACAACGTACCTATGTACGCCTGTAATACATATACAAGTAAACTGGTTCATTCACTGCAAATGTAAGTTTGTAATTCTATATATTTATATGGGATTACAAAGTTATTTACGCAGTTAATGTATCTAGAAAACTGGACAGAAATTAACAAACGTTTTAGTTTTTCCTTCATTTATATACTAAGCACTAATTGTATTCTAAATTTGAAGTTTCTATGTCTGCTAGAAGTGCCTTAGAGTTTTGATGATCGGTCAGTCAGTGAGTGACAAAATTAAGAACCTTTGACTGGTTACAATTCTTAATTTAAATTGAATGAAATTTGAAATATACCATGTCTATACAATGCTTACTCGGTTACTGAAAATTCAGGCTTCTAGTTTTATCGACCACGAAGTTATAGGGGGTCGAAAATGATCTGAATTGCTTCGAGAAAAGATGGTACGGCCGTGCCGCTTTTTTGCTCGACTTGGCGGGGGCACTGCCGTGCCCCCAGATTAGGCCCATCTTCAATATATCGCCAAAATGGTCGACAACTTCTGCCTTGATTTGTCGACCATTTGGATGAAGCAAGACAGGGTTAGCGAGGGGCACCTCGCTGACTCTGTCTTGCTTCATCCACATTTATTCTTTCTACGTATTCAAGCCACCAACGTATTCCTTCCTTAATCCTGGTTTCAACATCTTGCAAGCCACACTTTTCTTATCACACAGTTTCTCACCCTATCATAGTGTCATTATTAACAACTGCACTTCTACATCATTAATTTTACTCTTTTGCTTTTTCTGCTACTCTTAACTTTCACTACCATACTATGTTAGGGTAGGAACTAACAGCATTGTGAATTGCGATATGTGCAATTTTGACACATTCTAGACTTCTCACAATAAAATTAAGAGCCCCATTCACTCTGTTTCCTGCATTTACTCTTTATTTTATACCTTCCTGCCACTATTGACTATAGATTACTACTTAGTACATCAGCAGGAGAAGAAGAAGATACCTTAATAAAGCAGAACCTCGCGAAGTTCTCCCCTAGATGTTTGTGCTCCTCTGAGTAAAATGCGCTGGGAGGGATCGCGAGCACACCCGCTTCCTTCGCGAACTTCTTTGTAAAACGGTAGTCTTTGTACTTGTCCGTTTCAGATGAAAGATCGATTTTGTCTCCTGTGAATTGGCAGAGTACCAGTTTGATTAATAACTTTTTTTGTTCAGTTACCGTGTAGTGGCAATGTAAGAATATCCACTACCCCATGTCATCCAGTGGATTCGACAGAAGGAATTAAACCAGCAGTGTCTTCTTAATAACAATTAAAAAATTAAAAAACTACCAACGCGCTTGCCAAGCATTGCAACTATGGCAAATATCCCCTATGAGACAATCTATAGTGGAGGCAATACGGGTGACAAACATGCACACAGTCCACCTGATGGTAAGTGGATGCTGTGGCCCATAGACATCTACATTTATCTTCGATTAAGAATCAAAATCCAGATGCGTTGTCACCCCTGAGGACTAAGATGGAATGCCTCGTTTCCAGTAAAAAATGGTCTCTGGATCTCTACACTCACCATACGAAAAACAGCAGTATTAAGCTGCTATTTTTTACGTTGGTAATCTGTAGGAGCGTGGTCCTTCCCCGGTTGAGCCGACCCATTCGTGTTACAACCACCACATATAAATGTTCAGTAGTGGATTTTAATTAGGCTGTCATGGTAATGGTTTGTGATCAGAGCACACCGAGAAGCGGGTTTTTGCGTTTGAAACCAAGAGTAAAAAGAAATCGTTTGGTTATAATTGTCTCAATGTTGAATATCACTTCTTCAGACATATTCATATTTACAACGAAATTTTAACTGAGTACTATTAATTTTCTTTATTTTTACATGGACTTTTTATGCTTGCATTGTTATTGAGTCCACAGAGGCAGTAATTAATTCATGGGGAATTCATATATACGCAATTTCAACAAGTCCCAGAAAATATACAAGGTCTCTATTACAAGGTTTTATTTTTTTATCAAACAAAGTTATAATATAAATAATAACATGGTTGATAACCCCTGGGAATAAGGTGACCACGTCAAGCTGTTTCTTATATGTATATTGTAAATAATTGTACTTAAATATTTTATATTGAATAATATTATTACAGAAAAAAATCCGGCTGGTTTTCTAGCTAGTTCTTCCCAGGACAGAGGGTTTTTATCGAACCACTGGTCAAATTAAAAAATGACAATGTGAAAGTCATTTTCTAAACCAGTTAATAACAGTTCAAATAAAAATAAATATCTATTTATTTGATTTGTATTTTATGATTGATTTTTGAACATTGTTTTACTTTTTTTTTTATAGAATAGGGGTGATAAACACACAATCTGCCTGATGTTAAGTGGATGCTGGGGCCTTTTTTATAGGATAGGATGACAAACGAGCACACAGTCCACTATGATAAGTTGTAAACAATACCCTTATCATGCTTGAGTAGATTTAGGTGGAATGCCTCGTTTCCAGTAAAAAGGCCTACAGACATCTACATATATCCCTGAACAAGAATCAAAATGTATATGCGTAGTCAACCCTGAGGACTAAAATAGAATGCCTCGTTTCTAGTCCCTTTAATTTTACAGTTCTATTTTTATCGTGCGCCTATTGTACTTACGTTTCTAAACTTCTCTTCATTGTAAGTTTTTAGAGCTACACTTACCTAGTTTCGTCCAGTCGGCGACAACGAAGTAACCGCCGTCCGGTATGGTTGGGTTGAAGCCGTTCTCCTTCAGGGTCTTCACAAGGTAGTCCCTCTTAGGCAGGAGTTCCCGGGCGAGGGAGTAGAAATAGCACTCCGGCGAGTCAATACGAGACAGCTCCACTTCGAATGAACGCGCTACTGCCTCCTGTTGGTATTTATTAAAGATAAATATAACGCGAGGAATGCGTTTATTGAATACGTTCCCAAAGGCACGGGCTCTATAGAGGATGGGAAGAATAAAAAAAAAGTGGATGCTCTAAGGCCCAACAAAAAAAAAGAGGTGTCAGAGGTGACTACCGGAGGCACCAACAAACATGGGGGAACCGCCAGTAAAATGGCCGTTCCACAGAACACGGCAGCCATCGTAGGTGGCCCTACCAAAGGAAATTCCACGCTGCAGGCTCCAAGTTCTTCGGAGCTGGATGCGGATCAGGAACAAGGGACCGGAATTAGCAATACTTCTGCGGAGCCCCTAAGAACGGAAGACCACCTCTCAGCTGCCTGGCAATTGGTGAGGCGTAAAGGGAAAGGCAAGTCACCCAAAAAGGTGACTAGCCGACCCGACGGACCATCAAGTGAGTCTATCTTGCCAGCGAGCGGAAAAAGGTAAGTAAGAAGAACAGGAAGCTGAGAGAGAAAGTTCATAAAGAAATGACAAGATTATAGTGCTCGAATGTAGGTGCAAGCACAGGTGCACTCTCTGTTTCTTCACTCTCATAGTCCGATGGAGCAGTCATCACACACGCCTAGAGAGAGATCATGCGCAGGACCTACGGTTTTCTGTGGTTTCCGAAACTCCGTTAACTTCCCTACTGCGATCTGTACTGAAGATTTATTGTTACAAAATTCGGATTTGAAACCAGAATCTAAAGATCGACAATCGCGTTTACACCCAGTTGATCAACCGACCACAGTTAACTGGATGTGTGGAGCTAAAGATCAGACTAAATGGCGCATTTTGAGGAAGGCCTATGACCAGAAGTGGGCTGGGAGGAGAATAAAGTCCGTAGGCATAAGCTCCGAAATAAGAGGATCATTTCTGAGAAGGTAATGGGTCGACTAGTCCGCCACGCTGCTTCAGTATGCTTCAAAAAAGGAAAAAAACCTTATACGGAAGTCGGCTAAAAAGGTGGTGATGACGGAGGGTGATAAGAAGCGATCGCACAGACACCTACATTTATCATAAATGTGGAATCACAATGAAAAATAACTCGTCTGTCCATTGACGTGACTATGACGAAGATTTCAAGTTATTAAATTTATCGCATTCTTTAAAAATCCTATATTAATGGAGCAGCAAATTAATAAAGGTTTAAAGACAAAAGTTACATGTACTGGTAACTAAAACTAAAACATTTTTAATGTTTTAATAACAAGCCACAACCCTGCTTGTAATGTAAGTGAACCATGTAGTAGCGGTGTAGAAATATCCACTACCAAATATCGTCCCGTAGGATTCGTAAGATGCGACAGAGGTACACTTGAAACAGGAAATGGGCAGCAGCAGCTTCCTCATAATAACTGAAAATTGTTTAATAATTTTTTTTTTATAGAATAGGGTGACAAACGAGCACACAGTCCACCTGATGGTAAGTGGTTGCTGCGGCCCATAGACATCTACATCTATCCTCCATTAAAAATCAAAATGCAGATGCGTTGTCACCCGTGAGGACTGAGATGGAATGCCTCGTTTCCACTAAAAAGGCTCTCCGGTTCTCTACACTCACCATACGAAATACAGCAGCATTAAGCTACTATTTCACGCTGGTATTCTGTCAGAGCGTGGTCCTTCCCCGGTCGAGCCGACCCATTCGTGCTACAACTATACTACTAATATAACTGCAGCATGGCTCTACCACGTATGAACTGCTTCCTTATGGCAAAGCCCTCCCCCTCATGAGGCATTCTATGGAGGAGGCCTATGTTCAGTAGTAGACTTTTATTGGCTGTTATAGATAGATGGATGGAACAAACCTGCGTGGGTGTGGGGCACGTGTACACGCAGTTCTGATGGACGACTTGCAGATTTCTCATGAGATTTGATGGGCAGTAGGCCCAACCGATTTTCCAACCGGTCACAGAGAATGTCTTGCCCGCTGAGCCAACGGTTATCGTCCGCTCCCACATGCCAGGTAGTGTTGCTAGGAGAGAAACGAGATTTTTAAATTCTTTCTTCCTTTCCTTTTTATCAGTTTCCCTTATAATCTTAATATATAAAAATGTAAGTTTGTTTGTTCGTATTTTATGCGCAACTATAGCTTATTGCTTGCACTTGCGCGAGGGTTATAGGCATAGTACAAATAGAATTGAGTAATTTCTTATTCAATATAGATCACATGTAATTCTTATTGAGTTATTTTTTATTATACCACCGGTTCGGAAAAAAGTCTCTGTCCTGGGAAGAACCAGCAAGAAACCCAGTGGGACTGTTTTATAAAAAAATTTCAGTATGGTTACAAAAAATTTATAAAATTTATTTTAGAAACAGCTTGGAAACGACCACCTCATTCTTAAGGGTTATCATCAACCATGTATTAATTTATATTATAATAACCCCTTTTATACAACTTTTGTTCAACAAAATATTTAAACTTGGTAATAGGAGACTGTATATTTTCTGGGACTCTGTTGTTAGCATATTCAAGATGCCTCAAAAGTGAATTAGTGACTATGGAATCGAGAAACTGGTATCACTAGCTTGTGTTTGTTCCTAGTGTTTACAGACAGTGTATCACGTTTTTACTAAAACTCCCTTTGTTTTTGTGAACATAAATTCAATTTTTGTAAATATACTGAGAGGCTAAAGTTAGTATATTTATTTCTTTAAATTTTTCTTTAAGAGACTCTCTCGGTTTTAGGTTGTAAATATCTCTTAAAACCTTCTTCTGCAAAATAAGAATAGTTTCTAGCCGCATCTCCCCATAGCAAAATCTCATAAGGCATTATGCTATGGAAATATCTGAAACAAACTAATCTAGATGTCTCGACACTAGTGAGATCTCTTATCTCTTTTACAGCATAAGCTGCAGAGCTTAGTCTGATTGCTAGTTTGGATATATGGGGACCCACTGAAGCTTGCTTGTGATGCCAAGAAAACGAGAAGATTCAACAGGGCTTAGTACTTCCCCATTTAAAAACACATAAAAAAAAGAATATTAACAATTATAGCATTGTTACATTACTAATATTCCCCTTAACCACTCGTGGTAAGCTTAAACTGCTTGTGTTACGAGTGGTTCACGCCAGTAATCGAATGGTGGATTCGAACCCACGACCTTCTTGAGTTCGCGGTCTGCGCCCTGCCATTAGGCTACTGTCGCTTATATTCATTGGTATTCAGAATTTTAATATTTGTTGTTGTAAATTTAATAAATTTAGTTTTATTGCCGTTTAAATGTAGATTATTAACGTTAAACCAATGCACTAATTTTGATATAGCATTATTCACTTTGTCACATTTAAACGATTGACGTTCAAGTTTAAAAATCAAGAAAGTATCATCAGAAAATAACACTATATCATGATTATCTCCTACAAGGGAAGGTAAGTCATTTATATACACTAAAAATAGGAATGGGCCAAGAATTGAGCCCTGAAGGACTCCCATTTGTACGGCGCCCGGAACAACTTTACCATTTATAATAAATTTCTGCATTCTATTACTTCAATATGAAATAATAAGTTTAAGCGCTGTGTTCTTGACACCACAGTACTGTAGCTTCCTGATAAATGTCTCATGGAGAATACAGTCGATGGCTTTGGAAAGGTCACAAAATATACCCAAAGCATGCTCTGTATTCCCCCTTGCACAAAAAAATATGTTTTATAAACACAACTCCGGCGTCGGTTGTCAAGCAACCGCTTGTAAAACCAAATTGACTTGTATGAAGTAATTTGTTTATATTCTTAACATCTGATGTAAAATATTTTTTTCAAAAACTTTATTTAATGTTGGTAGTACAGAAAATGGTCTAAAATTGGTCTAATGTACTAAATGATTTAAATAAAGGTATGACTTCATTACGTACCAATAAATCAGGAAACACACCAGATTCGACGCTTGTATTACAAATAGTGGCTAGATAAGGTGCTATTTTATCTATTATAGATGCAATAACTGAAACGGAAATTCATAAGTCTGCCGTTTTCTTAACATAAGCAAATAAGGCAGTACTCTATGGATTTTAAAAGTGTTTGAACAAGCCTTTAAATTTTGTTTTAGCAATGGTACGGCGACAGTAAGAGTAGAATTTAATGATTTTTTTTTTCAAAAAAGGAACATTAATAAAATGTTTCTCAAAAGCCATAGCAACTTCTTGATCTGATAATTCTTACAGTAAGTGGTTACGACGGTTCATTATCGTTCGACGGTAATTTTTCAATCAGCTCAGTACCTGAGCTAAGAGCTGGGAAATGTTTAACATTAGTAATATCTATTATTTTTGAAATGGAATCACGATAATTCGAACCTCGTTAAGTCGTAATCCTCAGTAATGAGAAAAAAATGGGCATTCGCTTCTGCTAAACCCTTAAATACGCGATATCTCGAATTATTTAATCTTTGCAACTAGAATAAAATGTTATTTCGCTACGAGGTATTGATATTATAAGCCAAATTTCAAAAAGCGGATTTCGATGGACGAATGTCCCTCCTTTCCTTGGGTTTCCGCAAATTCACTAAAAAATTCAAAAGGAATGTTTGTTGCTTCTATTTTATTGTGTGTACTTTCTATATGTGCAATGAATGAATATATGCATTCATTAAACTCTCTAAGTAAATCTGGGTATCTTATGTTTGTTTATATTTGGGAAAACAATTTCGAAATTCTTGTTAAGTCGAAAACTCATTAACTCAAAATTTTTACCATTTCCCTTGAAATTCTAGTTAGAGAGATTCCACTGTAATCATTAAAACTTGTGAGCAACCTACCTATCCTTACATGTTTGTAGGGTTCATATACCATCCATTCGTAGACTTCATCAGATAAACACAGAACGTCGTGTTTCTTGCACAAATCGGCTATGACTTCCAGTTCTTCCCGTGTGAACACTTTCCCGAGCGGATTGTGAGGTGTGTTCAGGATGAGCATTTTGGTGCGCTTAGTGAAGAGTGAGGCCAGCTCTTTTTCATCAAGCACCCATTCTGCCGAGGTCATGTTCTCTTTGTTTGATTTCTGTAAAATATTGGTGCAATACGGATTAAGATTTGTTATTCAAATATAATAATATCCATCAGTAAGTAGCATACGGATATGAAACAGGACATGGTCACCAGCATCTTCTTGATAACAACTCAAAATAATGAAAAACTGCAATTGTCAAGTATGGCAACCGCAGTAAATATCCCCTATACGAGATGGCTATGTGAGAGGCCTATGTTTAGCAATGATCTCCTCCAGATTAGATTTCGGTCACGGCGGCCACTCTCAAGGGAAATTAGTCATCTGCGGACAACAGGATTTTAGTGCAAGCACAGGTGTACTCAATATTTCCACACCATCTTAGGTCAACATCCTCCTCCCGATCGTCTCTCATTAAAACCTACGGCACGAAAAATTTGGTGAATTTTTTTATAGCATTGGGTGACTAACGAGCACACAGTCCACCTGACGGTAAGTGGATGCTGTGGCCCATATACATCCACATTTATTCTCAATTAAGAATCAAAATGCAAATTCTTTGTCACCTCTGAGGACTAAGATGAAATGCCTCAATTCCAGGAAAAAAGGGTCTACAGTTCTTTACACTCACCATACGAAATGCAGCAGCATTACGCTGGATTCTGTGAGAGCGTTGTATTGCCCCGGCCGAACCGACCCCATTCGTGCCTCAACTATAATATAGCTACAGCGTGGCTCTACCGCGTATATTGTGATAATTCCAGCTACACGGAGTATATTAAATACTAAAGACACACGCCAGCTTTGCCTGTGTAGGATCTCTAATAAGATGGCGTAAATTAAATTTGAGATATTCATTAAAGAGTACATTTTATTAAACTGTAGATTTCTCAAAAAAAAATCTTGCAATTTTTTTCAGATGAAATATAGCCTAGATCATTCCATTACAAATGGTTCAGCCATTCAGACAGACACAAAGATCAAAATTTTAAAAATAGTTTTCATATCGCAATGGCATGTAATCAGCTCAATATACAGCAGTTAATTTGATATTACAGACTGATAATTCAATTTTATTTACACGGTATATATTTTAAAGTAATACAATGAGTATTTAAATTTTTTGTAAATATGTATTTGTCTTCTCGAAACTTGACATAATAATTTGAAAGAAATTGATAGTTAAATGAAATACATAACACAATTATACATAATATTGTAAATTTTATCATCAAGGTTACGACGCAATAGATGAATCTTATCTAAATGACATATGACTTGTTAAGAGGGTTCAGCAGTTACAGGTGATAAGAAAATGTTCTTACTAATAGCAGATATTACATTTACATTTTAAGATGTGGGAATATTTTAGTATTAATATATATTTAATATTTATGAATCATCAAAATATGATTTTCATCATCCATCCATCAATGCCTAAAAAATTTCAATGATGAACATAGGCCTACTACTAGATTGGGAGGATTTCAGCATAAGATTTAATCAAATGATGTGTCGCAACAAGTTATATATACAGTGTAAAGTTTGTAATTTATTTTAAAATGGTTCTAATAATTTTACATGTGGTAGAGCCACACTGCAGCTATATTATGATTGTAGCACAAATGAGTCAGCTTGACTGGGGAAGGTCCACGCTATCACAGAATACCAGCGTAAAATAGCTTAATGCTGCTGTGTTTCGTATTGTGAGTGTAGAGAACCGGAGACCCTTATTACTGGCAATGCATCTTCATTTTTATTCTTAATCGAGGTTAAATGTAGATGCCCTACCATCAAGTGGACTCTCTGCTCGTTTGTCACCCTTATTCTATAAATAAAAAAACAATACATGATTGATAGCAATCCCTGAGAATGAGGTGATCTTTACCATGCTGTTTGCTATTATTTTCATATTTGAATTTACAATATCTATTGTAAATTAATATTTAAAGAAACATTCCAACTGGGTTTCTTGCTGGTTCTCCACAGGGCAGAGGGTTTTTCCAAACCAGTGCCAAAGGCATAAATGACTTAATTGCTTATTGCATTTTAAAGGTTGTTTAAGGCGTACATTACATGCTCATGCAGGCGTCAATCAATTCCATCAATCATGATTGGTAAAAAACGGATGGTGACTGATAGGCGTTCATTATGCGCTCATGCAGGCGTCAATCACTGCATTACATGGTAGGTTATTCGTCAATCACAACCGTGTTTGTTGTAAAACTGATAGCTTGCATGAGCGTGTAATGTACGCCTAAGAGGTGACATATTGACAGCAGTGTCTTTCTTGTAACAATTAAAAAATGTTAACACAAACATAAAAACTTACTGGTTTTAGTGGAATGAATTTTGGTATTCCTCCTGCGCATCTGATCATAAAGTCATAGCAGTCAAAGAATGGCTCAATTACAATCACTTCATCACCATTATCCACATGACCTGAAATTAATTTAATATTCCAAAAATTTAAAATCTTGTTTTCGAAAGGAAACAAATGATAAGTCATAATTATATACACTGATTTAAATATCTTAGGAACCTTCTGCCTGAGATATTGAGTACATGTGAATGTTTCCATTTGGCTAAAGCAGAATTGAAATTTAAAAAAAATATAAATATTTTATTGATATCTATCTATATATCATAGACTCCTTGGTATAGCAATCACTACTCTACCTACAGTATACTGCTCTTTATAATGGAAGCCTCTATCTGACAGTGGATTGTTTTGAGTCCGATAATAATCACATTTAACCGGAAAAACCTCTCCAATCCTAAGATCAACTGTGGATGGTTAGAAAGGCAGCAGGAGCTTAAAATATTTTATACACTATGACAGCCTGCACTTTAGAAGCTATTATACAAAAAATTCTTTTTAGTTCTACAGGGTGTGTACGCGAACTCCGAGACCTATGAAGCTGTAAAAGCCAAAAGGCTAACAGCATTAATATCATCAGAAACCAGACTTTTTAGTTTTTTAAAGTCAATTTTTGTTTTTTATTAAATATAATTTTTGAATGCATATTCCAAGCTTTTTACTTCGGATATAATCAGGTCTCTAATGAATTATGAAATAAATTACATTCATAAACATTGCTGTTGTGTTAATAGTAGTTAAATATTATTACCTAAAATTGCAGAGTAAAGAGCTTCATAGGCTCCAGCTGTTACAAGAATCTCATTAAACGCGTCCAATTCTTTACCTATCAATGGAGAATATACTTTAGATAAGTTTTGTACTAATCTGGGATGTCCCTGCAAGGAAAAGTAATATAAGTAACAATTGCAATAAAAGTAAGTAGATTGGAAAGTTTACCTTTTATTTTATTAGAAGATGTGTAGTACTCACAAATCCTCTAGTATACTGCATGAGCAAGGGATTATCACCATTGGCAATATCAGCCAATGCTTTAGTGACATGTTTAGGGGCATGGTAGTCTGGAAAACCTTGGCCCAGATTTACGGCTGGTTTGTAATCGGCTGCCAACTGAATATATTCCACCCTGTTTTATGGACAGAAATCATGATATCAATGTAGTATGGGCCTTTCACAATCTCTATTCACAATAACAGAAGATAAAATATCTAGGTCTATTAGTTACAGGTTCATAATTTTTTAAATCATAATATCAACATTATTAAAAGTAACTATTTTTAATATTGATGATATTATGATTTTTTTTAAAGATTATTTATTTATGTATATTAATAAACAACCAAAATGTGATAACACCAACACACCGGTGCGTACGCAACATATTAACATAGCTTCCGAAATATCGGATGCCCACGAGAATGTTGAGAATAATAATGACCACAATAATGTAACTATGCAGACAGCCCAAATTTTTTTATTGATGACTTAGATTCAGAGACTATGTTAAACATTAAAAATCTTCAGAAAATCATTAAGGAGGAAATAACGGCTGCTCTAAAATCAGTAATCCAAGTGCAAGTATCGGAACAGTTGGAGATAATTAAACAGCAAATTGCCACTTTCCACGAATCAATGTCATTTTTTAATGAAAAGTTCGAAGAAATGAAAAGAAACCTTGCAGAAAAATCAATTATTATAAAAAATCTTGAAGTTGATAATGAGAAATTGAAAGCTTCTGTTCACAGTATAAGGAATAATTTAAACATAATGGAACAATTCGCTAGATCGTCTAACATCGAAATACAATTTCTACCAGAAAATAAGGAGGAAAACATATTAAATACCGTTGTTCAGATAGGAAAAGTTATAAATTGTAATATTAACGAAACCGATATCTCGCACTGTATAAGAATTTCGAAACAAAATCCTCAAAGCACCAGGCCAAGATCAGTTCTTGTAAGATTTAATAACCAGCGTATACGTGACTCCTTCATTGCCAGTGCAAGTAAATATAACAAAGAAAGTAAGAGTAAGCTCAACACCAGCCTACTAGTAATTGCATCTGATCCACCGAAAACGATTTATATAGCAGAACATCTGACGGCTAATAACAAAGAACTGCATGCTGCAACAAGGGCTCGTGCAAAAGAACTAGGCTTCAGGTTTGTCTGGATCAAAAAAGGGAAAGTTTTTTGTACGGAAAACAGAAAAATCTGAGTGTATTCATAATGTTAACATGGATAGTTTAAAAAATTAAGTCCTAATTCTGTGTAGACTATAGTTTTTCTTTCTTTCACTATCAATGTCGCGTGCATAAAGATGACAGAATTCAATTCACAAAACAAAAGTAGACAGTTTATTTTTTTTTGACAGGTTGTTAAATGTTCATTCGCTTAATACGAGTTTAGATGAACTTGAAGCCTCATTTCGGTTGGCTAACTTTGATGTCGTTTGTCTAACAGAGACATGGCTAAAAACTGACTCTGATATTGGTGCTTATGCTATTCCTGGCTATAACCTCATACATAAGCCTCGTTGTGGCCGTGGTGGCAGTGTGGGGGTATATGTGAGGTCGAATTTACGTGTAAAACAACTTAATCATCCCGATTTCCACACTTGAACAATTATGGATTGATATTAAAATTAAGCAACATAGTTTATTAATTGGAATTGCTTATCGACCTGAGCTTGTAAGTCAAGATATCGCAATCGATGCTCTTGATGAATCTTTATCAATATTTGGATCTAATTATGAGCATGTATTTGTTGTCGGCGATATTAATATAAACTGTATAGATCTTAACAATCATGTAACTCTACCTAAGTGTTTCGAAGTTCTTACTAACTCCTACAAGCTACATCAAATTGATAATTTACCGACTCGTAAAACGCCGCATACTTCGACACTTATTGGGAGTCATATTTACTAGAGTAAATTTGCAGCCCACATCAGTAGATGTTGTACATACAGATGACTTAAGTGATCATGGACTAGTAATAGCGACATTTCCTATTAGTGTCCCTAATAGAAAACCCCGTACCATGCAATACAGACCATTGACAGATAATGCCGAATATATTAAGAAAGCATCTGCATTCACTCCTTGGGAACTCATACTGGAGTATAATGAACTTAATGATATGGTTAACTTATTCAATTTTCTTATTTTAGACCTAATAGATACTTTTGCACCGGTATGTACACGTAAATTTAAAAATCCCCCATCTCCATGGATGACCAATACTCTTATGAATATGAGAAATATTCGTAATAAAGCTTGCCGAAAAGCTAAAAAATGTAATTCCGAATCAGCTATTAAATTTTACCAGAACATGCGCAACATATATAATTGTGCTGCTTGTGTTGAGAAACAGGCATATTTTACCCAATTTGTAAATAATAATATTAATAATCCATCTTTAATGTGGCGGCACATTAATAAAACAATTAAGAAAGGTTCTAGTAAATCAATTCCTGAACATCTTTTGGATGCCACAAAACTTAATACACATTTCATAAATAGTGTTCCCATGTTGTCGGTTGACTTAAAACAGTTCGAAAATTTTGAAAGTACTCGTAGGAGTAACTTATCAGAGTTCAATTTTAATAGAGTGAGTGCTGATGCACAGCTACAGAAGATTATTAATTCCTTTTCTTCTAACTCTAAAGGATGTGATGAAATTTGCATGAATATGATTAAGCTTACATTACCATACTCTTTAGTTGCCATTGAAGCCATCGTTAATAAATCATTGTTAGAATGAGTATTTGCCGATGTTTGGAAGTGCTCATTGATCATACCTATACCTAAGAAACAGAAAATAGACAGCTTTGATGACCTCAGGCCAATAAGTATATCTCCTTGTTATTATTATTATTAATGTATACTTGCACAGAGAAAATAAATGAGAAATATAACAAAAAACAGTTTTTAAAGGATCCACTTACCGGAAATACTATTATGGTTCTTTTTTACATGGTTTTATTAGCTTCGTGTGTCTATGTATCTAGCTATGTAACGGAATCTTTTTCACTAACTTGTAGGCAATTGCTTGTCTTGAAAATTTGCATTTGTATCAAGGACCGATGACAACACAAGGATTCAATAACTTTATCCCAGTATCTTGATTAGGATTATCAGAATAAAATAAAATAATTCTATCTTTAATTTTTTTAACTATAATTTATTTATTTTATATTATTGTAAACTATGGGTGGAACAGGGTGGGGGGAGGGGGTGCGTGTATAAGAAGCCTCCCTACCCTTTGCAGAAATGTATAGTTTCACAATTTCTATTTAACTTGTTTATTAGTAATGAATTTTTTGTAAAACATTTTTACATTTTCACACAAGAATATAGATCCAAAGTTACTTCTGCAACAGTTTTGGCGCTGCGGGAAGTGCAGCCTGGGCACCCATGCTCAACTCAGCAGCTTTGGCTTATTGGTCACCTTCGGCGACCAGCCTCAGCCGCAATGGCTTGCACAGGGGCCTGCGATTTGCTACGGGGGCGCCTACTGCTTTACAAAAACACTTTAGGGATAGGGCAGACAAGGCTATATGAATTCGGACATGCTGATTCGGTTTAAGAACAGATTCGACCAATCTTATCTATAGTCAGGTTGCCTAAACTCTGCTACAACAGTGGTAAATGAAACAATGTAATGTGCATTGTGATAATTTTGTTTTCTGATAAACCTCTTGACTGCTCTCTACTGCGACTCAATTTGTTGTATATGAGTCCAGTTTTCAGACACAAATGCATTGTCTGGGTTCGAGTGATTAACTGCTTTATGGGTGTATCCGTGTTCAAAAAAAATAAAATTATTTGTGTTTCATTAATTGAAATTTATGGTAAAATTTATTTTTATCGTAATTAATTCAAAAGCAATTCCGAAATCAAAAAACAGTGTAAAAGGTACAAGCCTAACTTTGACCAAATTAAATTAAAAAATCTAGTACCGGACGTCTACTTAATAATACTAGACCAAATTTATATATTTACATTTTGTTATAAGAAATTTTAATGGAAATTATTTTTATCGTATTTAAAATGCATTTCTGATATCTACAAAAAGCTTAACCCCAATAAGCCTCCTAAAATAAAAACAATATTAAAATCAGGTCCCAAATATCTATAGCCAACCCAAATATTCCGTTAAGAGCAAAATATTAATATTTTTTATTGATAAAAGAAACAGTTAAAACTATTTTTATTTTACCAAGTTAGTTTTTAAATATATTTATCTGTCTGATATGACATGCAGTTTTATCTGGATTTCCTTTATAAATTTTAAAATTTTATTCACAAGATTTCATACTGGATTTTTTGTTAAGAAAGACAACTCATGTACCAATAAAAGTAAAATAATACCATAACCACATATTTCAAACTTATATAAAGGGATATAAAACTTTGTTTTAGATTAGTGTTATTTAAATCTCCAAAAATAGTTATGTAACTGAAAACAATAATTGTAATCGATTGGGATGTAATTGTAATTATAACATAACCAAATGTGATATTAAGAATACATTTTTGATCTTTATTATTTATTAATAAATGTATATAATTTTTATAAATACAGGCAGTATTTCTAAGATAAATAATTTACTTACCACACACTTTTTTCACCGGCTCCATATCTCGCTGGCAGACGAAACTTATCAGACATAGCAGTCGAAGTAGTACTTATGTTTTTATATAAATTGTTATTTACGACTGTCACTAAATATGTATGCCTCTTCGCAAGTCTAAGTAATATTTGTTGCCACCTAAACATTTTAAGATAAAATTGACGTATGAAAATAATAAACAATAAATTATTTTTTACTAAACGTAACCGTAATCTAATATCACACCATGATACAGTATTATTACTTAAGTTCACATTGGTTGGTTAAAATATTGAATAAATTAACATAATAAATAAAATGAAGTTGATAAGAAAATAAATGACATAAAGGAAGGAACCGGTAAATACCTTCCTTTAAAATAAAAAAGTACTCCATAGATAAATAAATATGTAGCAAGAAGTACTCTGTGATTTCACCCAATAGAAATATTATGAAATGTCAGCTAGAAGCCAGTGTTGCCCGTTTGCTAAAAACAATTGATAAATAATCGTCCGAGTATGCATGCAAACGATAGCAATAAAAACGCTATCTCGTCGCATATTTACGGGATAGTAGCATAATCGCGTTTTATTTTCTTGTCAGAACTTTAGTGCATCCCATTGCTTAACTTGTGTAATTACGTTATTTGGGACAAAGCTCCCACTTGTTTGGCGGATTGACGATTGCACTACCAGACGTTTCTCACCATTGACACTTGCCCATCGCCAGTCCGGGTCTGGGTATTTTATGTCTGAAACCTTTAGACGATGGGATGAAAAGGGTTGATGGATTTTCAAATACTGCTGTCTTTAAATAATATCACTGATTCTACTGAGCGTATCCGTAACGTTACGCGTAATTTAATTAGTAGTCGTTATTCGATTAAAGTGCCTTATTCACGGTCCATCTTGCTGTACGTCCCACTAAGGTCATGCACGACGCATAATGCAAAACAAAAATGACTAATGAGGCGTACGTCAATGGGTGAATCCTTGGATTCTGTATCAGTTGATTCCCTTGGCGAAATTTATTAATGCAGATTTTTTATAAATGACAATTTAACTTAAAATTTTACTTAATTACAAACACATTTAACGAACAGGCATCACGTTTGGTCGGATGGTTCCCAAAATATAGCATTTTGCATTGTTTTGGCCAGGAGAATCAATAAAAAACGACAAGGGAATCAAAATTGAAACAAGATATATAAGAAAATTAAGTTTTTTTTAATTTATAATTTTACAGTAGATCTCATAGATTTAGTATATACTAAATCTATGGTAGGTCTATACCTCTGTATAGTACTAATCAGTCTTTTGGTTGCTGAAAATAGCACTTTTTTGGTTTTGTTTGCGAGACGAACAAGGATATTAAGATATTCATATAAATTGTTCATATTGATAAAATTTGTAGTTTTCAAATAGCACGCAGGCAAGTCGCGCGAACTTATAATAATAAATGAGTATTAATCGATATAACGGGGTTTTTTTTATATATAGGAGTGGGGACAAACGAGCATACGACTCGCCTGATAGTAAGTATTTACCGCCGCCCATGAACAACTGCAACACCAGGGGTGTTACAGATGCATTGCCGGCCTTTTAAAAAGGAATATGCTCTTTTCTTGAAGGTTCCTAAGTCGTATCGGTCCGGAAAAATCTCTGGTGATAGTCGATGCCACAAGAAAGTTGTGCGAGGAAGAAAAATTCTTTTAAATCGCACAGTGGTAGACCGCCAGTCATCCAGAAAGTGTGGATGATATCTGGAGTTTGGCCGTGATGTGCGTACATAAAATTTGACGTTTGGGATTAATCCGAGCAATTCACAGCACTGCCCGTGGTAAATGTGATAAAATACGCAAAGAGATGCAACATGTCTTCGCAGTGACAGTGAGTCAATCCGATCGGTAAGAGCTCGGTCGCCGAAGATTCGAACGGCTCCACAAAGGAGCTGGCACTGGGGAGCTCTAGCTCAATGATGGGAATAGTATTCCATGTGCGGCCGAACCAGTGCTTGTAAAGTTGCAAGCGATGTGCCGGCATGAAATACTGTCCCGCTCTGCTGAGCACGCCAAGCTTATTATAGGCCGATTTGGCCTTCTCTTCCAAGTGACCACGAAACTGCACGTCACTCGGTATGGGAAATGAATATATGTGTAAGAAATAATACGAACACTTGAACACATTTATTGAACGTTCTAGTATAGTAATGTTCGACGACCATCATTATCGAGCGGGTATCACAGACCACAAAGTACTGTAACTCGAAAGGATCCATTTAAATGATCGACCCGAATTACTGGGTTTGTAAGGCGAATCTTATAGATATATATAAGGTCATCAATGCTTGAATGATCGGGTCATTAGAACGAATGATACATGTCTAAGTGGTTGATTGAAATGTGATATTCTAATGTTTAGGCGAATGTTACACGTCGAAATTAAACTATTTTTATCGGATTTGCAAATCATAGCTAAGCTTTCCTAGATATTTCAGTCATCCGAAATCTTGATAACACTATTGGTTACGCTGTGTATAGGAAGAAGACCCATACTAACCGATATTTAAATGGTGTATCTCACCATCATCCTTCACACTTAGCTATCGTGGGTAAATCTTTGTTTCAGAGAGCACAAGGGATCTGTGACAGAAAACATCTGGCCACCAAGCTTCAGCACGTCAAGCAAGTATTACAGACAACAAGCTTCGGGTCCCGCACCTACGTCACAGTGACCGTGTGAAGCTGGCCGCATTCGAGCGTGTACCTACTGTACTACCGTATGTCAGAGATGTCACAGACAAGGTTGGCTACATCTTAAAGCGAGCTTCCATTAAAACATACTACGAGCCGCTGAAGAAAATTAGTCAATTTTTACCACCCGTCAAGAGTAATATTTCTCTACAAGATGCAGGAGTGTACAAGCTACATTGTGAATGTGGTCTCTATTACATAGGTCAAGCTAAAAGATTTATTAAAACCCGCGTAAAAGAACATATAGCTGACGGGAAGCACAGATGCTCCGGGAAGTCTGCAGTCTGCGAACATGTTCAAGATCGTCCCCATCATTACATCAAATTTGATAAACCACAAACCCTCGCAAAAGAACACCGATTCCTACCAAGGATGATACGGGAGGCTATTGAAATTAAAAATCATCCTAATTTCAATAGAGAAGATGGATGGCTGCTATCATACCACTGCAAGACTTCAAAAAACTGTAAGCTTGTTATGCGTAGATTAGACCAAAATTTAATATTGAAAAACTGAAGGTAGTTGGGCTAACTATGAAATTGCGATGTCAAAGTTCTAAGTCCCTCCCCATGACCACGGGTGCTCTAAAGCAGCCGAAACGTCAGCAATTAAAAATAGGTTAATTAAACGCGATAAAATGCGTATATATAGTTTTATTCAATGTGTACTGTTCGCGTACATTTAAGAAATCATTAAATTACATGTACAAATATAAATGCATCGTTTTAATTTTTAATAAATTTAAAATACAAATTCATCAATTTATTTATTTATCAATAATAATCAATAAATCGCAAATTTATCTATCAACTTCCCAACCCTGTCCCATCGCTATGGTTCTGTGCGTTCTAGTTAAACCTTGAAATATCCAATCACAGCGCATTTGACACGACCCCAAATTTGGTGAAATCGAAACAGAACAAATATTCATTAATGCGGTATCTATTAGGGGTAATCTGTGCCTGGGACAAATAGTCCAACTAGGTAAGTCCAACTTCGGCCGAGAGGTCAATCGACGGATTCAACTCGGCTGGGCAGCGTTCAGGAAATTACGATACATCTTTTGGTCAGGTGTACCTCAAAATCTGAAAACTACAGTGGGTGTTCAAATTATTATACTCAACATATTTATTCCGTTTATTTAGTATTTAAAACCAATTATACTTTACAATGACAGTTTTAGTTCAATCAAATAAATTAAAAATGATTAATAATTTTATGCTTTATAGTTTACAACACTAAAATGGTCTACTTTTAACTAGGCAACACTGTAATAGCCGCCATTTTGTTTTGTTGTCAATTTTGTGTTTCTGTAAGCACGTGCTCTCTGTGTCTTTATTATAAGTAAGTGAAGGATTTATTCAGTAAAAGGTATATTATTATTCTTATATATTATTATTATTATTATTCTTGCATGTCGCTGTCTTTTGCTATCTAATCCATATTTTATTTTAACATTCGTCTTTTTCATCAACATAACCTCACTTTCAATAGATTTGAAGATGGGGAAGCGTTCTGACGTGTCTCCAAAAAAGAAAACTGAAATTAAGACTTTGCTACAACACTGTAAATATTCTCAAAGGAAAATAGCAGAAATGTGCAAGGTTCCTCAATCAACAGTGCGTAATATCAGTAAAGCTATGTAACAAGGGGGAATCCATGACGCCGAAACGTTCCGGAAAATGTGGACGCAAACGCATCACTACGCCTCGAGATGAGCGAAAAATTCGGAAAATAACCATAGAAAATCGGAATAAACCCAGAAAAGACATTAGAGATATTCTCGAAGAGGCTGGAGTGACTCTGTCCGACATGACGTTACGTAGAAGATGGAAGGAACAAAACTTTTCCTGCCGTCGACCATTGAAGAAGCCGAAATTGACTCCTGTCATGCGTCTGTAACGCCTAGAGTTTGCAAAAAAATATAAATACTGGACTGCAGAAGACTGGCATAAAGTAATATATTGTATTTTAAACGTATTTTGTATTGTTCATGATGAATTGCTCATGTTTGGGATTTCTAGGTTTGCTTCTCTGATGAGTCGAGTATCCAGATCTTGCAAGACCATACGCAGTTTGTTCGTAGGAGACCAAATGAGAAATTCAAAGAAGACTGTATAGTAGAGAGGGTGAAGCATCCACTATCCAAAATGATCTGGGGAGTTATCAGCGCAAAGGGACGCCTCTACATAGTGGAAAACACCATACGGCAGGATCAGTACATTAAAGTTCTGTCAGAAAAACTGATTCAACAGACATCAGAATGGTTTCCTAATAGGGATTTCCTGTTTATGCACGACTCAGCCCCATGTCATAAAGCAAAAAAAGTGACAAAATTCCTAAATGACCATCAGATAAAGGTGTTGGAATGGCCTGGTAACTCTCCAGATCTAAACCCCATAGAAAATGTGTGGACTGCGTTAAAAAAGGAAATAGCTAAAGAAAAAGTCATAACTAATAAACAAGAACTGATTGAGAAGATAATCAAAGCTTGGTTTAACACCCCAGAATTAAAAACAATATCAAAAAATTGCATAGACAGCATGCCTCGTCGACTTCAAGAAGTTATTGCACAAAAGGGTGGTTTTACAAAATATTAATTTGTAAAAAAACTTGAATTAAATTAACTTTTTACACCAAAAACATGTTTAATTATTTTCAGAAATAGTTTTATAAGCTCCAGTGAAAAAATAATACCAGTTACAAGATTAAATTTATTACTTAAAGAAATATAAACTTATAAAAATCTTATTTCATGGTTTGAGTATAATAATTTGAACACCCACTGTATATACAGGTTCCTTTGTTTTAGAAAGTTGTTCTCGCCGAGTTGGTTCTCTGGAAGGCGTTTATATTGTAACCAGAGTATGTTTTTATAAGTAATATCCTAAATTATTCCCTTGTTAATCCATTCCTGTTTCGGTGGATTTCTAATTTTGACTTTATATAACCATACAATCCTGTATACTTTTCATTAGTTTTTCTTCAAGCATTGTGTATTTTTCGTTTCCAGTATATTCTACGTTTGATTTTTCTAGAGTTTCATATAGTTTTTTGTACACTAATGCTTCATATTCTGTTTTTATACATATAGGTTCTGGTTGGTATTTTTTTATTTATAAAAACGAAACTATGTCGATGTTTTTTATCGATAACCAAATCACCATAGTCCGCATAAGTTTTTATTTGATTATAAGTAATACATAAACAGAAACAGTAGCCTTCTTGACCCCGGGGTCCGCCGCCGGCGGTGGATCTGGTCTATAGCTCCGCCGCCAACCAAAACTTGGACAGTTAACGGTGCGGCACCGTCAGAGTCGCGGAGGATAGGACAAATATCGCATCGCCAACACTCCAACAACACCAACACTCCTCTTGACTTCGACTGCAGCCGTAGGAGAGGGCACCCCACGAACACACATCCGAAGTGGGCTCGCCCAGCCCACTCGGAGTGGCCTCCTCGGGCCGGTTCTACGCGAGAACCCGTTTGGAGGAATGCTATTCGGTTTAGCGACTAATCCAAGTCTGTATCCGAGTTGTCGCTGTCATCGAGCACAACTGTCAACGAACACAACGTGTGTGTACGATGACGTTTCTGTCATAAAGTCTTCAAAATATCGAATATTATGCAGCACTACGTATATAAACGTCAAGTCTATTTATATGGAAATGTATTGTGTCATTCTAGAACACAGATTCAACAGGTACTGTCCGTGAAAGTGTTAACTTAACCATTAGCCGGGTCCACACCGGACGATCCAACGCGCTCCAATGACGTGCAGCATAAGCGAGCTCCACAGACACGGTTGGTGTGGACGTGCTACGCGCAATCCAAGCTGCAAACTTCGAGCATGCACTCGTTGCCGCAAGCGATTTATTCCTTTACAGTTTTGCGATCATGCTCAAAGGGGCCTCCGTCACTTGTCGTGTGCGGTGCTGACGTTTGTGAGTGGATGACGCGATATGAAAATTAACGTGCAACGTACTATAATTAGTAATTATACGTTTTTTGTCAGAAAATATAATTCTTTTAATTTAAGAAAAACATACTTCTTGTTTTGTTTAGTCTGATTGAAGTATAAATGTATAATTATAGAAAGTAATTTTACACACAAATAATTTTTTTACTGTTACCATTGTGCTATTAGGTACAACGTACTAGGGGCGACACTGCATTCAGCTACACTGTTCCACTCAACTGCGTTGCATACACCGCACTTTAATTAGTCACTCGCTAGGCGCTTATAGAATTGTTACGTGTTGTGTTGATTTAAAAAAAAAAGTCTCTTGATAAAAATATGCCGTCGTGTGTACTTAGATATTGCAAAAATAATTCAAGAAATGTCAATAAAAACCAAGGAATTACTTTTCATCGGTTAATAAGATACTTAATCAATAAAAAAGTATTATAGATTAATAATAAAACAAATTATTAATAAGACGCCATCTCGTGTCATGGAATATAGATTATGAAATTAATATGTTCAGAAGCGACATTTTTGTGGTTACTTACGTCAATAATATTAATATGCACAATTTTTTGTAGAAACATATAAGTTATCATAATTAGGCTAATTTTTTTATATTTAAATCTGCTCATTATTCTTTTATTTTATTTTTAAGGTTTCGACATCAAAGTCAAAGTAGAATAAATTCGTCCATTTTTAACTCTCGCGTGCCCAGCATTAATGAACGACTCTTATTCTAATTTAAATGAAATGTTAATAAGCGTTGTTAAACATACATTTAGTATGTTTTTTATATTTGACTTAGATAACTTTTAAAATATTCAGATAAAAATATAATTAAAATGTAATTGTGATATAATATCATTTAATATTATATTAAATAAGCAAATATAATATACAAAATAAATCACAAAATTTAAATATTGTTCTCGATATAATTTACCTATTTAACAATACAATCTACTATATACCTACGGGTCATTCTACCTGTTTATTCTATGATAAAAAAACAACCTCGCGAACACAAAGTAGCCCACATTTTTTGTTAGAGATAGCTGTTCTAGTACGTAAGTACACATATTACTTCAATGACTATTACCATTGAAGTAATATGTACTTGTGTACTGATGTACTATGACGCCAGGACTTTGGGATCTTCATGGAGGTTAAGAATCCATTAAAGAGCTTCGTTAGCCACTGTACAGCAATAGGCCCCAGCGACTTCCATAGATCAGCGGGTATGCTATCCGGCCCAACTGCTTTATGGTTTTTCATCTTTTTAAGGGCACTTACGACCTCTTCGTCACTTTTCTTGTTCAATGGTTCAGCTACGCTAGGGGATATATTCGATGGTTGACTTGGAAATTCTTCGTTCAGCAGTTTTTGATAATATTGGCACCATCTACTAACGGTAGCATAGTGGTATAAATAAATAAATAAATAGTACGTTTGCAACCTGTTTAAATGAATAAAATAACCAACTGTAGGTAACTAATATTTTTAATCGGTACTTACAGTCGTTTACCATATTTTTTTATTTTAAAAATATTTGCCGCAACGGCATTGACCGAGCTTCTCTGGAGTCAATAATTTCAGGCAGTACACACTTTTCTTTTCTTAAAAAAAAACGTTACCCCCACAATAGGATTTTATTTTGTATCGTAGAAGCAGTTTACAAACATAAATTGCACAAGGACGAACATCCAGACCCGGAACAATTATTTGAAGGTCATACAAATACTTGTTCCGTGCAGGATTCAAACCCGTGGCCCCCAGCGCAGCCACTCATTGCCAAGTCACTGCGCCACGGAGCCGTCAACAAACACTTATTTATAAAACGCTTGTAACTTGGATATTATATACAAAATCCAAAATTTGTCGTCTTTGTAGATTTTTAATACTTTTACTGCATAATCTGGGCCAGTCCATATGGCAAGCATGCAGAAATTTTTATTCTCCATTATTTTTTCTCCAGAGATAGGATATTTCTTTTTTTACGTTTAGTGACACATTGATATGTGTGTTTATTTTTCCCCATTCCGACTGGTAAGAAAGCTCAGCTACAATCAAAATAACTATAATGAGTTAACTATCTCAAGAATAATAATGTGTGAACTTTAAACTAATTGAAATATACTGTACGAAAGTAAATACTTTCAACGATTAAAAATAGCGGGCGTATTTGACGATGCTCTAGGCACAAAATAGTAGCGCCAAGGTAATCGACGCATACTACTAAAATATCGAAACAAGACGTAGCTCGAAATCAAGTGACACGTCCAACCTAGACGACCGCTCGTGCGGTAATGATTTCATTTAATTTTATTTACCTATTAATTAAAAATAATAGTAACGATTTAAAAAATAAAAATCAAAGTATAGTTTAAACAAATTTCGAAGATTATTTTAATATAAATTCTACGTTAAAATAATATTAAACTTCGGAGATATTGGGGCTTATATCGAAGCTTTTTCAGTCGTTAATTGAATTATGTTGATTTTTTTCCTTACGGGAAAGGCGTATAACGAAAATGTGTTTTATCGTTATTAAAGTATGGGATATTTGTGACATAAAAATATATTTTTTGATAGTCAATATTCAATAGAATCTACAAATTAGAGATTCCAAATTATGACTCTCTGAGTTTTGGCCTAAACATGCCTCGGGAGTATGATTATTATTAATTAAATAAATGAGATATCTTATTTTTGCCTTGAGCTTGTTGTAGCAGAGAAAAAAAAACTATTTTTACCAAGTAGTTGTTATTTTAAGCAACGAACGGGAAAACGTATAATTTCAACGAGTAAACCTTGTAATTTCGCGTTTAATTGTAATACTCCCTCTTAACCTTTTTAATAGGTACACGTTTCACATCATAACACGCATATCATTTTAAGCAGTCCACCGTTGAACTCTAGGCCTTCCCTATAGATTGCCTTATGAGGGGGCTTTTTTGCCATAGTTGCCACGCTTGGAACGTAGGTTTGAGGAAGAGACTGCTGTTTATCTCTTGTTTCAGTTTCCCCTTTTCACTTCTCTTGACGCACACGGGACTATATAATATAGAAATAGTTAATATTATAACTTTGCTACTATACGGTTGAATTACTCAGGTTGGGAGTGGCAAAAGAAGCACGAGGGTAAAATAATACTGTATACAAGCGGATGATACTGGATACTTGTTAAATACGTAAAAAGTTGTGTATATAAAATTACGTAGGTATCCTCTTTGGATAATACGTGCTACCAGTTGTACGTAAACATATTTTTGTATTTGAACTTCGTCAATATTCGCAATATGGCTGGCTCTGTCTGTGAGCAATATAGTATAATTAAGATTTTTATATTTAGGTACTATGTTTAGTAACTACCAAGTTTGAAAATTGATATTAATAAAAAAGGAAACAAAATATTAATAAAAAGTTTCAAGTATTATATTTCTTTCATCTATGATAAGAGGAACGTCCCGTGAATGTCATTATGAATGCAAATAAACCGGAGATGAAAGTTTGATGAAAAATAAGCTTTTTAGATACAGATAATATAAATAATTTCATTCCCTTAATGGTTTTGAAGTAAAGTTATAACCTTTAAGTCTTAACCTCTAAGTTCATAACTTTGTTATATCTTG